TCTGATGTTTAATGTGAGAGTCAGTAAAATAGTGTTATAATGATGGATGAATAGTATTCTCCTCCATTTCCTTTTTTGGGCTTATTTTCATTCTCTTTATAGACAATTTCAGCAAAATATAATATCTTATCATACTGTAAGTGTCAATTTACAGATTCTTGTTGCATAATAAAGCAAGAAATGTTTCTTACTTTTTATAATTATGCAGTTTGTAATTAGAGAGCTCTGATCCCGAGGCAAAAATATTGATAAAGTAAAATATATTTATAGTATACGGTGGTAATTACATTTTCATGTATGTCAGTGTTGGTTTCCTAATGACTTGCAGCACATGCAATGCAGGTCCTGTTGATCATCACAGAAGTAATCACACCTTTGGAAAGGGTTAGACCAGTTTTTGAAGTTTGTGAAAGGGTGATGTGAAGTAGGATGAGTTCTGTAATGACAAAGTTTTGCCTGGCATTATGTCTAATCCACGCCTGCTCAATAGGATTGTGTGTAATACTTTGCTTTAAAACCTTTTTTTCTACTGGAAGCACCTTTATCTAGTTTTTAAACAGTGTAAGTGAAAATGCTTAAAAAGAAAAGTCCTAAAGATGCATTAAAACTTTAATTTCTTATACACAATACTGCTCTATATACTTTACAAATATACAGTATTTGGACTGAAGTAGTTGAAGCGTCAGCATGCGTAGGCTGCAAAGGAACAGGTAACAGGTTTATTTGATGCTGAAAAGAAAGGAAACACAACGTTTTGGCTGTGGAGCCTTCTTCAGGTGTGAGAAAGACACGGTAGAGGGCAAAGATTGGTTTGTATATGGGGACTGGTTTGTATTTTCTGACCTCTACAGTGTTAATTAAACTTTGTCTTTAAACAGTCCAATCTGCTGAATTACTCTATTAGGAATTAAAGGAATTCTTTAATTTAGGACAGAGCCTGTTGTTTTATGCTTATGTTAGACCATGACTGAGATGCGCGTGTACAAGTGTTTTTTTTTCTGCAACAGGGAGGAAAAGCCTGGGTAATTTTCCGTGATTGCAAATTGCATTTTTGTATTCTTGAAAGCACATAAGACCAGAGCATGCAGTCTAAGCACTATGTTCGGTTGCAGAAAAGAGAGATAATAAAAGCTGGATGTCAAACAGAATTACTTTGCTTAGATATTCTGCATGTTCATTTTCAAGCAAGTAGAGGCATGCCTTGCATCAAGCGCTGCAAATTATGAAGGAGAGGTGTTGGAACAGCTTTGTGTCTCAATGATGAGGCAGTATGATGTCAATAGCTCTGTTAGTGAAGTGCAGTCTGTAATATACTACTGTATGTCTTTTTTATGGCGATCAGTCCAAAAATATCTCTAACTAGATGGAGCCGATTTCCCTCCCAGTCTGCGGTCTTGAATTGAAATCAGTGTCTTTCAATTACCTTGTTTTCCTGTGTCACATAAGAGAAATGTATTTTCCAGGAATGTGTGCATTGTACAGTCACACTTACAGTTAACATGTTCATGTACAGTATGCTGACTGTGGCTGCTGTCTCTTTTTTGGATATGTTTTCCATCCCTTATGTTTTAGTGTTTGAAGTGCCCTACTTTTTTACTGGCACGGTGTAGAAGCACCCCTTCTGATAGTGCCCAGTTGTACTGTCAAGGAGCCGCTGATTATGCTCAAGCAGTAGGAAATAATTCTGTTGGCAATCGATTGGTGATCTTTTGGCATTTCTCTACTTTGGAAGTACGGGAAACTTCTGATTTCCTCCCATATTCCCTAATAGCCCTCAAATGATCCTGAAATATAACAGCTGAGCTATTCAGTAATTATCTGTTGCTGATCCCTTTCTTTTTAAATAGATTTTCATCATACAACTCTCAATTCTATTCTCGCCATGCTTTCTGAGTTGTCATAATGACTGAGTATCTGCCTACTTGAGAAGAGATTCCATTTACTTATGTATACAACCACACTGAGGAATATATTGTAATGTATATTACAGTATATGTCCATTAGCAGTAAAAAATCTGTTTAGTTTTTGTAAAAGCTAATTATTTGTTTAATGATTTGCCTTAAAACTGTGAATGTGTGCCATTTAATAATGGACATTATCATATTCCCATTTGCCCATGTATACATAATGCAGTTAATGTATTGGTCGAACTTCTTACAAGAAAAACATAACAAACTCAACTGGTTGCCTATCCAGTCTAATGAACAGGTGATTAACTGGAACACCTAATGCGAAATTAGGCACAGTATCAATACAGTAGTAAAACTGAAACTACACCCTGTTGAGTTAAAGCCAGTGTTTTCTTTCGACCATGACATACTTGGAAGATAGAAGCTTCCGATTGTGAAATTGGCCATTACTGCTTAGTATAGCTGGCCCGTGTTTCACTTGATGTGATTTGGTCAACTCGGAGATTAAAACAGTGATTTGAGTGAGGCGCTATAGTGCCTGGAAAGGTCTCCCCTTTGTCCAAACTTGATTTCCTGAAACCCATTCTCTCCTCCAGCTGAAGCCAGCGGGCATGCAAAGGCACTAAACTCTCTGGGCAAGCGGGGCTTTGTTATCAATAGTAATAGTTGGATGGCCACATCTGTTAGCTAAATTACTATGACGGAGTGGGACTGGGAGAAGAGGCTGTTTTATTTTCTAGCTTGTTGTCTTCTGCAGGAAGTGAAAGTGAATCGCAGTGAGGGAATCACAGCAGGGAAGCTCTTTACAAATGAGAGGCAGATATTGACTTACAGCCAGCGTGCAGTTTTAGTGATAAATGTATTTTCATACACTGCCGCTCAAGGTCACTTCATGCTTGCAGCTTATGCCAGGCATCAAAAAAGAGCCAGATTTCTTTGCCTCGCAGAGATTTTTCGGAGATTAGTGCTTTATGGGGAGGGGATGCATCCAGCTGCTCAGTTTATCTAAACAGGGGTCTCTGCTAATCTTACTTCTGATTATTATCCTCTGTAGGCCTTTAAGAAAACACCCTTAAATTTGTCCACTTCATTCTTTTAGCTCTGACTAATAAGTTATTCACTTTGTTGTATTCATACACTTAAAAAATGTTTCTATGCAGACATAGATAGCAGAGCATAATGCTTTTAATATTTTGCATTAGCTGCAATCGTGTTTTTAAACAAAAAGTAGAGCAGTGTATTACAGTAAACCCTCAGTTTAGCAGAATAATAGGAGGGAAGAGGTGTCGGTTACTGTCGAATGTCATTTAAATCACAAGTGACATAATTTCAGCCCCAATTACAGAATTAGAAAAATACTGTATATACTGTATGCTGTAGATATGCTTTCAAGATCTTTCTTAACAATTGCAATCAACACAGTAATTAAAAGTTGTTCCTGTGTCTTTTTCATTATTAATATACAAGCTGTTTCAAGTTTTGTACTGTAAATATACTATATACAATTCACTAAATACATTCATTTATATGTAACACAAACAAAACACATCATATGCAAATGACTGTGCACCTTTAATATTCCGAACTTAAATCTATGTAGTATTTATTTTTAACTTGTCTAATTATTCATGCATTTGCAGAACATTTTACATAGTTTGCATTTTAGTTTTTTAAGATATACTAAAGCCAGATATACTAAACCAGTAACAACATCTAATGTAAGCAGTTACCTACCCCTACGTTTCAAGAAGGCTTACTTCCACAGTAATGACTACCTCTCTTTATAAAGTTAGCTTTATTTACATGAACTGTGTCTGTGGTACAACTGACAGTCAATCGATGGATAAATACAGCAACACACAACATTATTCCTTCTCAATACTAGCAAGTTGCATGAGGAAATAAAACACTCAGGAGAGGTCCTGTCTATAGTGCTTCACCCTATACCAAATATACCAATATCCTAAAGGGCAACATTGGTATGTATGCCTACTTAAAGGCGTGTTGTCTGAAAGATGTTATTGTTATATTATTTTTGCATTTTATTGCATCCATTATTGTAAGATAAGTCCACTATTCCTGGCTTTACACACACATTTCTCCTTTTATTTTGTGTCTGCTAAATCCGGTGATGGTAAAGGTGATGTTTTAATGCTTTACTGTAGTTCCAGGGTTCTTGCGTGTCATAGTCCAATTCCACAATTTCAGTTTCCTCCTGCACTTGGGGAAAAACACCCCAACAAAAAACAGGCCTCCTTAATGTGTGTCTTCTTTAATTGTAATAACATTTCCTTTACCCCCAGGTGCTGCAGATCACTTTAATAATTATTAAATGGAGCCCAAATACCTGAAATTGGGGGTCATACAGGGTTTCCCTTCAATTTTAATGGTGTTTTTCTAATTTCGAATAAATGTGGTTGAATATGTGAACACATTGCGCTGTCAGGGTATATATATTTTTACCACAAAGATCTGTATTAGACAGGCAGTTCTTAATGTTATCTTAATGAGTTTAGCTATTTATGTCAGTGTACAGAAGCACTTAAGAATGCCAACACAATGTCTGCATTTCTAATGAAAAGGTCATATTTAAGTCTTAGTAAAGCTAAAATTATACAGAAGTAACACCCCATTGAGAATATTGTTCAGAACAATGGCATTTACAGTACCTCCAAATACTTCAAAGGAAAGTGACCAGAGTGATTTCAGCTGAACGTTTCAAATATTCATAATCCAGAAAGGTACTGGGAAAATCAGAGCCAAGGACCTGAGATCTGGCAATGAGGTAATGTCCAGGGACACAAGTGGAAATACAGAGGTCCAGTTTAGGGCTAGAAGCAGACCGTGTTTACACACAGGGTATTGACAGTCTGAAACAAACTATTTGGGTATGTCACCGAGGCAGACTCAGATACCTTTCACAAAATAAAAGAAGTTAGGATTCTGTAATGGATAAATTAACAGCGACTGATGAAGGTGGGTCAAATGTGCACTTGTGCAACTTTATAAAGTTTATATTCTCTTTTATACTTGTGTCATTGTAACATGTACACTTGCGTGATCTAAACCATTGCATCTGCTTCTTGCAGACCATTCATGGACACAAGGGGCCCATAACTGCTGTCTCTTTTGCCCCAGACGGACGGTATCTCTCAACCTATTCCAATACAGACAGCCACATCTCGTTCTGGCAGGTAAGAAACCAATGTTGTACTATTTTTTCCCTTGAAGGTTATTTGCCTCCGTATTTTCTTTCCTCCTTTTTCTTCCCCTTCCCCTTTCTTTCATTTTGTCTGTTTTTGATGTTTTCGTGTGTCTTGTCTGTCATTTAGTGACCATGGTGGTACTGCATTTTATTTCCAACACTTGTTGTCCATTGGCCACCAACCTGTCTTGTGACCATTTTATCCAGTACAGACTTGCAGGGGAGCCAGAGTCAATCCCAGCAGGCAGTGCTTGCAATGCAGGGTACTCCCTGAGTGGGACACCTGTCGTCATGGGTCAGATACACAGACACACATGCACTCTCACACCAGGGCTGATTTTCTTAGAAGTCAAGTTAACCTACCAACATGTCATTGGACTATGCAAGCCAACCAGAGCACCCTGTTAGCAATGCTAACCAATGCACCACCACGCCACCCTGTTGAAGATTTTAATCATTGTAATTCTGTAGACTCTTGTTACCAGCCATGAAGGTAGATGTATTCAGGTAATGGTAAATTATGAATTTTCTGCAATGACAAGTAATAATATGCACTTTCCAAAACCACAGCCATTATCCTATGGCAGCTCGGTTACTGTATGCCCATGTCGTGTTACCTGCTGGTTGACTGATATCTTTCAATGAGAAACAAAGTGGGATGGGTTCTCTGTGTCTAAAAGTTTAATGTCACCTGCGGATTTATTTTTATTTTTCAGAATTAAACATCAGAAATCGCTCTTGCTTACAGTTAACGATATAGGAAAAACAAATAGCACCTCTATTCTATTTCTATTTAATGTAGGAGGTCTGAGCTTTTTTCAAGGGAAACCAGATTTCTGCATTACTTGCACCGACCACAGAGAGAAATCATAGTCACCCAGTGAGTTCACTCTGAAGTATGAAAACCAAAAAGCTATGGGGTTGTATGGCTGCATATTTCAACTATAGTAGCTCCTTAGTCAGAATCCAGTGAAGTAGGTATGATATAGTGCAGTAACGGATTGAGGAGCATTTAGAATTTGTATTCAAATTCAAATGTAATGTCAGCAGCCATATCACCCTGCAACTCACAACTAGCAACCCACTGAAGCTAAGCAGGTGTGAGCCTGGTCAGTACCTGGATGGGAGACCTCCTGGGAAAAACTAAGGTTGCTGCTGGAAGAGGTGTTAGTGGGGCCAGCAGGGGGCGCTCACCCTGTGGTCCATGTGGGTCCTAATGCCCCAGTATAGTGACGGGGACACTATACTGTAAACAGGCGCCGTCCTTCGGATGAGACGTAAAACCGAGGTCCTGACTCTCTGTGGTCATTAAAAATCCCAGGGCGCTTCTCGAAAAGAGTAGGGGTGTAACCCCGGTGTCCTGGCCAAATTTCCCCCCTGGCCTTTACCCCATCATGGCCTCCTAATAATCCCCCTCTATGAATTGGCTACATTACTCTGCTCTCCTCCCCACTGATAGCTGATGTGTGGTGAGCGTTCTGGCGCACTATGGCTGCCGTCGCATCATCCAGGTGGATGCTGCACATTGGTGGTGGTGGAGGGGAGTCCCCATTACCTGTAAAGCGCTTTGAGTGGAGTGTCCAGAAAAGCGCTATATAAGTGTAAGCAATTATTATTATTATTATTATTCCATTTTAACTTAAAATTAGTCTTTTTAAGACTAAACCTTAGGGACACACAGCTGAGGAGGTCAAAGTGCAAAACAAGTTCTAGATATTGACACGATTTCCTGTTCATCTGTTTTTGATAACATGTATGCTTATTTGTATTTGTCTTTTGTTTTTAATTTCGCTTTAAAACAAATAGAAGTAAAAGATTGCTTTACATCCGTCTCTTGCTCTTTGAACTTGACAGAAACCGAGGTGATCCGGAATGTAATTATAATTTCAGAATTTCCCCCAAGCTTTCCCTGTCACACTATTTTCCCTTCCCTTGATATTCAGCAGTAGCACAGTTTAAGTTGCGGTTATTGTAGCTGGTATGGAGGCTAATGGACATCTCTCTGGTCAGTATCCACCAAAGTCAATGTGCCCGGCTGTGCTGACAACATATACTCCTTAATGTGCGTCTTCCCCTGACAGAATGAGCCTTTTGGCTTTTTACTTGAGCACCTGACAAACCTGATACAAGACTGCAGAAATGGCATGATATATTTTCCCACCGAGATGTTTTTTATTGAGAAGGAAAATTGTCTACAATGGCTGCCTTTGATGACCCTTTCTAGCAGATTGTACATTTACATTTACATTTTTGTTTTCATTTGACAGATGGTTTTACCCAAAGTGCTTTATAATCTCATCTAGATGCAAAGGGTGCTAGTACCTTTATCATAAGAAAACAATTCAACCATAAACAAACAATGAGCATAGTTTTAATTACAATATGTACTATCATGTTGCACAGTTATCATATTTATTTGATTGTTTAATGCAGACAGCATACAGTGTGCTTACACATGACGTACTGTATTCTGTTTGGTTGCCCAACTGCTTTGGAGTGACCTCAGGATGGAGTGATCTTTCCCCTCCCTCCCTGTGTCTCTGTGCTCTTAATGCAGGAAAATCTGGAGCATTAGTCATCTTAAAAGGGTTATTACTCAAGATGATTTAAATGGTGAAAATGTCAGCTATGCTGGCACACTCTCTGCTAGAGATGCTCTGATTTACACTCCCTGACTACGCTGTGCTCAGACGCCCGCTGCAGGGTAACAGGTTTCAAACACAGCAGCTGCGCTCTCGGTGCCCTGCTCAAGCCAGGACGACACAACACATTTTCCTCTGCTTGCTGACAAAAATTAGCAGTCCAGACATTTGCAACTAGGCCTGGCCTCTTAATATTACCAGCTGTGACACAGCAAAGTGGGAGAGACTGCTTCACAACTAAAGCAGCTTTGCTGTAGTATCTGCTTTTCATTATAATGGCATTACAGTAAGTGAGAGCCACAGTTCATGGACCTCTGTAAAGATAATGAATTCTCAGGCAGTCTGCTTCTCATTGAGCTGGTCCCATTCTCTTGCATGGTGTCTCAGGCTGAATTGGCTGCCGCTTGCCAGCTCTGAGATATCTGAGCAGTACTGTTGGCTCAGCTCAGTGTCTGTCCTTTCATGGAAGCAATAAAAGAAAGCCTTGTTGCATTTTCACCTTTGCCCAGTAATTATTTCAGAATTAATAGAATATATAATTTATGTATATATATTAAATATAAACATTATATGCAGTGCCTAAGTTTAAGGCAGTGCCAGATTTTAGTCCTTCTGTTTCATCTGTCTTATCTTATAAGGAGTCGTGTTCTTTTTGTTTTCTGCTGTCTTCATCACGCAAATATATATCACCACGTCTTCAGTTATTGTGATTAGATTTCAACACGCTTTCAGTATCGGGTCAGCCCTGAAATCAGAAGGCAGGGGACCTGCCCCGTTTAACAGCCTGCCTGTTTTTCCTCTTCTGTGTGAAGTGATCAGAAGAGGCATCTCTGACAGGCCATGACAAGGGGAGCACAGCCAATTTACATATCGACTGACCTCTGACCTATCTGAAAGAATAGAAATCCACTTAATCTTCAGTCACAGGAAGATTTATTTTTCACTGAGAAGTTGCTGTTAGTGTAGAAGTGTGCATTGGTCTTTCTGATAGGGAACTATTAGGTACGGTACATCTCTAGTTTAGCCACATTGTAAGGCTATTTTGGAATGTACAACCATTCCACCAATTCTCCATCCATACAGTAGCTTCCTTCAAAGGTTGGTTTAAAGGTTTAAAATGTGGAAAATCACACAGAAGCTCAAAATCATAACTGTATGTAAATTTATATTTGTTTTGTAGGTTGTGGTCCCTGATCTTAATTTTTATTCTGCAGTATAGGGCAACATAAAAAAACTTATATTGGTTAACTTTTTTGTGGGGAGAAAACAACATAATATCACTTTACAGCATAACACAAAAATGATCTCAGAAGGGTACAGAATGAAGAGACTAGACCCGTTGCTCTGGACCAGTATGTCTGCAAACAAATGTTTGAAATCTGTGCCATGACCCAAAATTTGCATTAAGGGAAAGAAAAATTTTCTACTAACACTGCCACATTACTGAATATACTGTATCACTCCGTATTTACGTTATGGCGCCTGCTGTACGTTGTCACTGTAAGGACCCTGAGGGCTGCACACGTATTTCTGCTGCCTGGTGGTTTTTACGAATGGAATGATCCTGTAAGAAGAAGTGACCTGTTTTCAGTAGTAATTACGGTGCTCTTCATTGCGCGAGGGCGTGCTATGAGGCAAGAGCATGTGAAAGGACAAAAGCAGCAGACGGGAAAGGGGAACGAGTCAGCGGTGTGTGAGAGCTGTGTTTCCTTTCCCCACAGATGAACACCTCCTTGCTGGGCAGTATCGGCATGTTGAACTCCGCCCCCCAGCTGCGCTGCATCAAAACCTACCAGGTTCCCCCGGTGCAGCCTGCGTCCCCCGGATCGCAGAACGCGCTGAAGCTGGCCCGGCTCATCTGGACCTCCAACCGCAACGTCATCCTGATGGCGCACGATGGCAAAGAGCACCGTTTCATGGTCTGAGCACCTCCCTGCCTCTCCCACTCCCCCTGCACAGACCCAGTCACATAGGCCACGTACTGCTGTTTACACCTTCTGGTTGTTTACATTTCCGATCTGCCCTCCTAGTGCTTATATTGTTTAATAAAAGAGGCTTGTCTCTCTCTTCAAGTCTGTGCTTCGCACCTTGTCAAGACCCAGGCCTTCCGGCCTCGTACACTCCCGAGTTCGTTTGCAGCTGAGTTTCTTGGCGCCAAGAGCCTATTATACTCACTAGTTTTTTCTCAAGGGGCATTTTTCTTTCACTCGTTCAAAGCACTGATCATCCCAGTTTAAAAACTACACAGGGGCATTCCTCCGCCGGGATCCAGTACGACTAAGTATTAAACTCAAGGTTATGTGTGTAAAATTCATATCATATTGTAGGAAATGTTGTAAAGAATGTGAAATTATCTAGTTCTCGTTATGCAATGTTTTCTATTTCCAGTGGTTACAAAAATGAGTACTGCAATAAGCAAACCAGCCAATGTTGCATTGCCAGTTATCCTGCATCTCCTACCTTAATTAGACAATATACAGTAAGAATAGAAAAACTGCACTGAATGGAAATTTCTGTTTAGCTGATGGATGAGGCAAAGTGCATATATATGTATTTTAATATATACTGATCATTTGACCAAACACTGAAGCTGCTTTCTTCTATATCTTGCAAGTTCTGGGCCTGTGTAAGAAATAACTTCCTTTTAGTTGTCAATGTGCTCTATAGAATGTTTGAACCATTAATATCTGTATTTTTACTGATCCATTATTTATTAATAGAAAAATTATAACACTGCACCGGTCAATATTTAAAATACTCAAGCATATCGATGGTCTTTACAGGCTCTTTCAAAAATGATCTTTTAAAAAGGTACTGGTTCTGAGGAAGGCCTAAAATATCCTCCTAAACCACCTGCTAAAAATGTTGTCATTATTTTACACATTTGTAGGCCGCAGTTAAATCAGTGATGTGTTTTGTTTTGTGCAGGCTGAATCTCTGGCAGGGTGAAAACAGGCCTGTAGTATATTTACATATCACAGCAGATTTTGTTTGATTATCTTAAAACGGAAAATTAATCTTGAAGAAGTAGATGCCGCACACTACGAATTTCCCTGTCCAGGTTATGATACAGTATGACTCCATGTCAGAATTTTTTTAGACAAGAGAATCTGTAGCCAACCTATTGGTTTGCCAATTTGTAGTTAGAGAAAGGAGCCCTGAAAGTAGTATACAGTATGTAAGTAGTCTAGCTGTATGGCTCAGGAAAGGACTTTTCAGTATCTGCCCCTGTTATTTAAAGACTCCCCAAAGGTTGCTGAGATGAAAAATATGACCCAGGTGTCCAAGAATTCAAAGCTCTCCCCCTTGTGAACAGATAATAGTGGAAATCTTCGAGCAGTTAGCCTCAGCACTGCTGCTCGGCGTGACATTTCCATTTCAGCGAAGCCGAAACAAAGTATGAGATTTTTCTCATCTTTAGGTGTTTGCTTTATATTTAATCTTTCAGGCAGCTATGGATAAAGCTGGGACTGAGCTGCGTGGTAGCGAGTTAATTGGCCGATCCTGTCTCTGAGTGCTCTTAATGCTGCTGTTCATTTCTTCTAAAAAATCACCACAATTTACATGTAACATTGATGTGGTTCTGTAAGGCGGATTTGCGAATAGGAGACAATGAAGCAAGCACTTAAGCAATCTCTTTAACAGGGTGCATTTGGCTGTTCCCTTATGATTGCACTAGCATATTTTCAGTATATAAAGATTGAGCAGTGGGGGTACCAATTAAAGTGTCTCTTCTTTGCCAGATTGTAATAGCATACTGTACATTTTAGCTCCTGGCCACTCAGTAAATTTCGGCAAACAAAATTCTCAGCTTCCTGAGCCAATTGTCCTTTGTAGGACATGGTTTTCCTTTGAGACTCTATATTTTCTGCTCCAAACTTTATGAGCCCACTGTCCTGGTTAAGAGAGATCAAAAACTTCACAAAGTTCTTTTCTACATATGCTGCTAACTGGAAAAACGATGCACGTGACTTACTGATACCGTAATTCATTTTTAGTTTTTGCTAGCTCTATGGCCACCTCAGTTCCATACGAGCACAAGGTTGTCGACAGTTTTGATCCGCACACCAATCTGCCCGTCTTACACATACAGATGCAGAATAGCATTTATTTGCTTATTCTTTTTGGGTGGTTCTTACATTGTTAAGGGATAGATCTTTGCTGAAAATCTTCCCATTTTTACAGATTTTTAAGTTTTAATGATCAACAAATATAAAATAGGCTGTATATATAAAATCCTGGTTTTAATTTAGCCAATTTCATATTATAGTGTTGCTCTCACTCGTAATTCGCACGTGAATGGTATTTCCCCAAAACTTTATGATACGCATAACTAGGGACTTTCTTAGACTCATGACATCCTAAAATAACACAGCTTGTCAAACCCGTTGCATTGTATGAAACATGATTGCCTATATTTTGGACAAAATGGCACTATTATCGACAGAATTTCTCAGCCATTCCATATGTGGTGTTTGGAATCCAGCCTGCACTTTCCTTGTGTGAAGAACCAGTCAATTCTTTAGCTTTTACTGCTGCTCCTAACTCTCTTCGTCTCTCTTGCCAAGTCTCAGCAATTAAATATAAGGTTAGCCAGCAGTTAAATGTAAGGATTATGACAACGGCTGCATTATCCTAAGAGGATGTTAAAATAGAGGAAGATGATCACAGAAAGACCAAGTGCTTTTGCACTCTTTGTGCTACGCTTTCAGTACGGCAGTAAAAATTTGTATTGTCACTCCCATGTGATCTTTTAGTGTTTTATTGATTAGTTACTCCTGTATTTGGAACTGTCCTTCTTGTAAATGTAGATGCATAAACAGCTTCATTGTCAAATTATTAGTAGCAGATTCAGCATAATACAGTAATACCAGTATGATGGTAAACCATTGTAGCTGTGGAAGATGCTCTGTGCTGTACAAAAAACCTGTGCGTGACAATGTTGATATCTGTGCTTCTTATTCAGGAATTGTACTGTAAAGGCTGTGTTACAATGTGTTGCGTGTATATCTATGTGTTCAATAAATGAAGTGGAAATTGAGTGGTATTGTAAAATTACTTGAATTCATGGCGTATCTCTCAAAGAAGGAAACTGACAGAACAATATGATTTCGTCCTCATCATTGTTCACACCCCTTTTGAAACAGATGATTCTTTCCAATATATGTCTTCTGTAAGTACTGTACCTGCAGTTTGTGTTCTGGTGGATTTAAAAAAGTTTTTATTTTTTTGTTTCACTACCCCTTATGTATACAGTATACGTGATCACAGAACTTAGACTATTCCAAAAAGTTTGTTTTTTTAATTAAAATCATGCTGTGGCTCTAGTTTATCTTTGTAATGAGGGTAAAGCATTACCTCGTTGATTATGTACCTTGCCTATGTTTTACATGATATTGCATCTGTAGGAGCAGACCTTTGCCTGTTATTAGCAGCTTAAGGTTTAAAAACTAAAAAAGAAAATGTGATGTCAATCTTCAATGTTTAGTGGTGGTGCCAAGGTCTGCAGCTTGTAAATGCTGCCATTTAAAATGCTTACCTTTAAAGCCCTTACTTAATTGTTATCATCTTGCAGCTTTTATGAATCTAAAATTGTGTTTTTAATTACATAATTTGTAGACATTTGTATTCAACAGTCTATAACAAGCCCAGTGGTATAGTACTAATCTCACTGTTGTGTATTTCTTGTTAAAATTGTACCTACATACAGTATAAATTGGTCTGTATAGGAAAGGGACAATTATTTTTGGTTTAGTAATTTTATATACACACTGGATACACACTGTTGGGTGATACCACACTGTGGTAATTAATGTGCGATTATTTATTCTTTGAGTGTAGTAATAAAGCAGGGCAGTGTGGCAGGTTAGTCGAGCCATTTCTTTCATCTTAGGCAGACTGGACAGATAAAGCCCAGTAATGTGTTAAACCTCAGGGCCTGGCTCAATGTCATTTAATATAAGGCCAGTGAATGTCTTCCACTCACGATCAGAGGACATATCAGCTGAACATGCCAGAGAAGGACATGACACTAATAGGAAGCTAAAGCTGGCCACTGCCGAGTGAACTCTCACCTTTCACCCCTGCAGTTCACAGACATGGCTGATGCTGAAAAATCAATAGCTGGGAGTCAGGAGGGAAATATTTCCAGCCTCTAACTAGAGAATGTGCTCTGACAAGGCCAAGCTAATCCACGCAACAAAGAAAAAATAAGAAAGGAGAGTCATTCTTAAAGCCTGGCACTTCAAGGTGTTTCTGCACAATAGCACTGGGAATGAAAGACAGTCAATAAGTACAAATACCAAAGGTCAATGGCAAAGCAAATGAATATCAAAAACACAGAGATCTGTTCTGAGCACAGTTACAGTACCTCGCTGAATAATGCACGTTTTTTTTTTAAGTAAAACATTTCAATAGCTCAGTTTTTGCTTTGCTTTTCTTTCTCTGCCGTTAGATCCGTTTTTATTTTACTTGCTCCGAGTCAATCTGCTGTGATTCGTACAATGTATGAGGAATAATTCCAAAAGTTAGATAGGACATTTTAAATCCACCGTAACTGAGGACCCTGTATTTCGAATTGGGAACGGCTCAGGAGACCTGAGGAGGGGAGCACTTCGTTAGCAGATGACCTGCTCTGTGTTGCTGTCAAAGTGAATTTCCTGGGGGTGGTGGGAGGGGGAAGCGGGCGTTGGCGTATCGGCGTGCTTTCTCATCTGGGAGGCGGTGGGGGGGGGGAGGGGTCTTTAAAAGGCACGCAGAAAAGCCCCAGCGTGTCTCCACCGCAGATTCTGCTGCTGTCAGCCCACTTGCATTGCGCAAGCAGGAGGCTCAAATCCCGTCGCTGACATTTTGGCTTGAATCTAATCTGGTTGCGGAGAGGTAGTCACTTTTTTGAAGAGTGCATTTCTAATGAACGGGGAGGTGGCCAGGCAGAAGGGGAGGGGGTGTGAGTGTGGGAGGAGGCAGCTTTCCTTTGTGCCGAATTCAGACTCATCCCCTGGGGATCGAAGACCACCTGGGGAATTTCCAATCATTTCACTCCCGGCTTACAGACAGGCTGCTGATAAGCAGGAAGAATCCCTTTTCTTTATTTTTCCTTCAGAGATGTCAGAACAGGAGCTTTGGCCAATAGTAGCGGCCTTGTCTGATTGGGCGAGAGTGACCTGGACTAGGTGAGGTCATTTAGGATGATACATTAAAAAAAGGAATAATAATTCAAAAGAGTGTGAATCACCCCCCCCCCTTTCCATTTTTAAATGACTTCAGATATAGTACGTGTGTAGAAATATAATAAGATCTGAATTTTTAAAGAGAATTTCAAAACAAGCTGTGCCCTTCCTGCTTTCTTGGTGACTGAAAAGCAAAGCTTCTAATCTATTAGTGGAAAACTAATGATAGCTCCCTATTATTTAATGATCCCAGGACACCAAAGGACCTTGGAGATGTTTCAGCTCAACTCCTTCATTGATTGACTCGGAGGGAAAGCATGATTTAGTTGATATACCAGGAACAAAAATCAATGGGTAAATGCTAAAATAATATATGTATAATTAAAAAACAGTTTGAAAAGATTGCAAACACTTAGCAAGATGTTGTTAAAAGCAAATGTATTGTGTGTCTGTGCCCAAACCGTTGTATATGTTTTTATTTAGAAAAGCGTAGGCTCATTTTTAAACTCCCTTTTCTCCCGTCATGTACTGTAGCAGCTCCTTATGCGGCATATTTTTGCTCGTCTGTGGGGATACGTCTTGCATTTTATCTGGAGGCGGAATGTTCCCTCAGAAGGTTAAAAGCAGTTTTCCACAGGGAGATTCTGCCACCAGAGGTGCTGTTTATCCTGTATGTCTGAATGTGAACACCCTCCAGGTCACCACTGGCTAGCACTGATACACCAGGTTAAAGTGATAAGCAGCTGGCCTGTCAGCATAAGACCAAATGAGGAGATTGCTATCCCCTGTGGGGCAGTAAATACACCAAATTTCCTGGAAAGGGTGCGGCCTTTGGTCTCAAAGTTAATGGCATCTGTTAAGTAACAGAATATTCACAGGAATCCTGAGAAATGTCGCTCCCCCTTGCCACGGCCACTTTAGTTTCAGACAATTAAAAGTAATTAAAACAGTTTCAAAATGAATGGCACAAATTTTAATTTTTTAAGGGGATAGTGCAAAATGTATTCAAATCACTATGTAGTGAGGTGTCACTGTCTTCTGCTTGATTCCTTCTAGCATTCGGTGCTGACCTTGTCCTTATGTTCATTGTCACCACCTTTATTAGACAGCTTTATATCTGGGCCCTGCTGCTGTATATGTGGCTGTCCTGCTTGAAAAAGATGCTGAGATTGTGGCTGTGTTTTTGATAACAGCATTTCCACCTGAAAACAAGACTGTGTGCTCCCTCAGCTACTACAGGAACAAACAATTACTCAGTGTACAAGAAATGCAGCAGAACAAAGAAGACTCACGATGAATTAGAGAAATCATTGGGTATAGAATGTTTTTTTGATGTCTTTAATTGAACGCACAGGTATTTCCGTGTATATTAGCCCAGGGTTAGCCCTGAGGAGAGGATTCTATGTATCTTCCCCGTGCCCAGTAAAGGATGTTGCTCCTTCTCCATGATGCCAAGCACACTACTAGTTCACTTAGAAACAAACATGTGGCTTGTCGTGTTGTTGAACATGTGCTCTCAAGGTGTTTGAATCAAGGGAACTTTTCACTACTGTATTGCGGCTTTCTCTGTCACCAACATTAGACTCAAGCTGTTTCCTCTTTAAAAAGGATAAGTCATTATGGGAGCCCAAGATATCACACTGCCTCATCGTTTCTTTTTACAGATGTAACTCCAATTGAGGGGAGAGGTTTGGTCTCATTGGAGTCATGCCTTTTTGTTTTCCAATACTCCATGGCCTCCTCTAAGGGACAGAAGCACAATGGCTACAATTCCTTTTGCTGTGCATTACCACAAAACCCTTCTACAGCATGTAATCTGAATGTTGCATTAACACAGCTATTGATTAGTAGGAAGTAAATTTGGACATTTAACCATAGTGTTTGCCTATTGGTAGCCATTGATCAGTTCTAAATTAATTATAACATCCCAGCGAAATCCATAGGGCAACAGGCTCTCTTTTCTTTTTGTCTTGCGATGTTGTACGATTAGAGACCCTCGCCTAGAGAGACTCACCTCTCAGCTGGCACCTCCATCAGGGAGCTCCAGCAATCAATGCTTCGCAGGACAGGAAAGGGCTGGCTGGACCGCACTAAAAAAGGGGGGTTAGTGGTCAGCCAGCTCCTTAGGACATGCCAGAAGGTCGACATAAGCGTCTTTTACGACCCCAATCAGTGTCCAGTAGGAAGAGAGCCAGCTGTAGATTATATCTCAAGGTGATAGTGACCTCTGACCTTTCTGCAGTCCGGGTGCCTACTGGTCATTCATCATATGGTCTCTTGCCAGCAACCTCTTTAACCATTTTAAAGTCAGCGAACATTACCTATTGATTTTATTGATCAGACTCCACATCTGCTGTGAAAAATGCAGGGGTCCTATCTCGCAGCACTTTTCTTTTCTCTTTCTCTGGCGTTGATGTTTTAGTATTATTTTTCATCTGTTCTAACCCCCTCCCCCCCATCCCTCCATATGATACTGCTGCCCACTACTCCACGCGCATTGAGACAAACGAAAGCACCACGGCCCCTTTTGAGGTACTACAAACAACGTGGGCTACCCCCTTTCGTGTCTAGACGTACCACAAAGGTGCTGTTGGCTGTGGAAGCGGCGATGGTGTTTGTGTTCGGCAGCCATCTTATCCTCGCTCGCTGTTTCGCTCTGACGGTCTGCACTCCTGCCCTTGCCAAGCTGAGCAGTTTAGGAAACAGCACTGAGCCGCATGCAGACAAGCAGAAAGAATCCTGTTTGTGTGAAGTTTGCATTTGAGTCTTTAAAAATGAATTACTGCCACCTAACAGGCAATTGCCAAATTGCACCTTTGTGTTGCTCTAAGCATGTGTGCTTAAGATGAGGATGCAAGTGAGACAAAGAAAA